AGGCTGGGGATTAGATATATTCCAAACCAGCGGTAATGGCGTGCCCGGTTCACCAGCGATCGAGCGGAGACAACCCTTCGTCTTCCTCGTCAGGCACACACGCGCGTGGCCCCCTAGAATATCAGTATACATGCATGTAGCAATATATTGCTACACATGAAATGTGCAGACAAAATACAAAACAGAAAGATTTGTTCCTCTTCTGTCTACACTCACACTATTCATGAACGAAATACAGTAGACTCTCAGAAAACGGAAATCTCTTAAACGGAACTGCTGCTTAAATAGAACTGTAGCGTCTCAATGCGCCGCTCGTCAAGGAAGAAGAAGTTGGCATTTGGGCCGCGCGGCGGGTGCAACGCGATAATAAAAAATCAGTTCGAAAACTGAACGCTGTCAGGGCTGGATTTTTCCCGTGTTAGCTCCGACAGTTAATGATGACCTTGGATTACGCCGTACGTTCCGCTGGATTTTCATCCTCGCTGACGTCTCGCAAGCTGTTCTTGGAGCTAACTTCCTCAGTTTTTTCAACCTTGCTGTGGACATGCATGCTCATCGCCTCATTGATCTCAACACCCGCCTCTCCATCAACGGTGTACTCTGTACTTCCTCGCCAACGGGACTGCGAGCTCTCACACCTGCTTCGCCGAGAACTGAACGCTGTCAGGGCTGGATCTTTCCCGTGTTAGCTCCGACAGAACTATTGCCTCTGTAATGCTTGGTTTCGGGCTTGTATTCTGCACCCATGTTCACCTCTCAGCAAACGAAACTCCTGTTAAATGGAACAATTTTCCCGGCCCCTTCAGGTTCCGTTTACTGAGAGCCCACTGTAGCTCAAATGTGTACCTCTGAATGTTTTGCTTATCTGGTTGGTTTCTGATTGTAAGATTAAAATCTTTAAGCGTGTGAAGCTCCAAGTTCTTGCATGTCTAAAAATTTGAGCCTACTAATAGGTAGAGCGCTACCTCTTGGCCCACACGACAACCTTAACTTCCATTACAACTTGTCCAAACACACTTGTCCAGTCAGCTGACTATGCCATTTAAGCGGCTTGATTCCTGGCACGAGCTTTCAAGATACCCTAGCAGCACACAGGACTTGCATACCTAGGTGAAGACCTCTCGTGTACAGCTGACATTACTCACTCGGACACTTGCACTCTCTTCTTCCTGCTTTTCTAAATGTCGTGCAACTCTCAGTCTGATTTCAAGTGCAAGTATGAGATTCCTGGTCTAGCACATTTTTAAATCCATGTTCACAGACGTGCAAGATTGCATGAGCAGACTTCAGTAGATGAGGGGAGCCATGTTGTACACACAAAGAGGACAGTTAAGTCAGCAGTTTCTTCTGCCCTTGTCCCAGCATACTTTTTGATTGAATAGCCTTTCTTGATGATGTTTCTGTAATGCCTACCACCCTGATGGGTGCCTGTTAAAATACGTGATGTTTCTCCACTAAATCGTAAGGAGCTCTGCTAAGTTGAAGCAGAAAGAAGAGCAAGAGAGCGAGAAGTCCAAGTCAAAGTGTTGGAGCACCCAATTATACAAGAGCCTATCAAACGTATCGTGAATGCAGCTAAAGAAGGGCCATGCCAGGGGCGTATGCCGACACTTTTTTTTTCAGAGAGGGCATCTCCTCCGTCTGAAGGGGAGAACTTGACAGGCAGATGTGGCCGAGTGGCATTTTGTGCCCTGTATGCCATGGCGAAAACAACTTCAAAGGGGAGGAAGGGGGGTAAGAGACCTAGTGTGCCACCCCCCGGCTATGCCACTTGGTCACGTGGATCAAGCCATAGAAATTGGAGAGGCATGTCCATGCTTGTCTGGAAGAGCTACCGAAGACAAGGAGGCCGCCCAGTGACTGTTATGGCGAAGACAAAGCTAAATGCTCCAAGGCTGATCTTCAGACAAAATTTTCGAACTGGTAATAGGTTGTAACATTTTGGCAGTCTTTTTAGGTATGATCAAACGTGAAGGCCTCTGGCTCAGCCGGAATCACCAACTGTAGCATTTGCAGTAAGACTGCTGTGCCTTCAAGCATTTTGATTGCAGCAGCGACGGCAGCTCGAACTGCAATTACTTACGGTTGTAATCCCACTTGAAAACAACCATACAAGCAATCATGGTCATGGCCATAGATTTTAGTTTTCTTGGAATGGAAAATTGAACTAGCTGGTATGGACTGCTCAGCACTCACAAGAAGGTAAAGAATTGCACGCGACATGCGTGACAATCGACAGCGCATGTCATGTGCACTTCAGTCCCTTGTCCTTTTTGTGAGCACGGCACAGTCCTAAGCATGAATAGACTTTATTACCGACAGTCATGATTAAACATGACACAACCCACACAAGCTATTGCTTAGTCATGGCCACACATGTCAATGATAATACAGGCAAACACTTGCATCAATTACCACACATGATGACTGTACAAGCAATCACTTTTGGTAATGACAACCATAAATAGAAGTAACCATAAAAGCAATCACTTCCATCACTTACCGACCCAACCATACAAGGCAACAAGAATACAAGCATTGCAGTCCTGATCGTAGATGTCAGTAACCACAGAAGCAATCACATGCTAGACCTGCTGCTTATGTTGTACTCAAATACATGCTCAAGTTGTGCCGCAGGCCTCGTTTAAGTTGCGTCGCAGGGCCCCTTTAAGGAGCCCTGCAACACAGCTTGAGCATGTATTTTTCATCGTTTTTTTTTCTGGTGCTGTGGAATGCGCTGATATCGTTGCACGAGTGGCAACCCCGAAATCAAAGCTGTCATAATTTTAGTTCACAGGAGAAACTGCCTTGATTTTGGACTACGGTGACACACATTGGCTATTTTTGTTATGGGATGTATGTCACGTGAAGCGACGCTGAGACTGTTCGCTTTAGAATGGCTTGATGCAACAAGTAGCGTGCAGTACTGATATAGTGGCAGCCAGGCTATACGAGTGAATGCTAAAAACAGCAAGAACCTCTTTTATATTTTCTCAGAAAGAAATTATTCCTGTTACCAAATGACGTATTTCCAGAACAACGAACACCGCACTAAGTCTGCGAACGAGGCTACGGTATGCCAGCAACTAAAGATGGAAGCACATGCCACGTTTTTAGCGAGCCAAAAATGTGACATGTGGTGGACGCCGGCGTTGCTGTCGGATGCGTCTTGCACGCAAGCCGAGAATGACACCGCCCCAAGCGTATAAATATATCTTTTACAGTGTGACCGTGGTAATAAGCTACCTGACGCACGTGGTTTGTACAGTTGAATCTCGATAATTTGAACTCGAAGGGGCCCAAAAATTTGTTCAAATTAAAAGAAGTTCGAATTAATAGAAGCTAAAAAAATGGAGGGCTCTCCATGCAGTCTTGCATTGAGCTAATACACGAGGGGGAAGTTTCAGAAGACTTAGATTTATTCACAAATCGCAGGACATCCGTTATTAATTGAAGTAATCAGTGATGCGCATCAGCACTCGATTGCCTTGCAGCAAGTCAATCGATTTCGCATACAGGTTGCAAAGCATTTTTACTTCTGCTTCAGCATTCTGGCAAGAGAATTGCGCACGGAAATGTCCAGTGCCGACACTTTCGAAAGACCATGACAACAACGACTGTGTAGCCGCAGCATGGCCAGCACGTGACTGGAAAGGAGGAGCGTGTACACGCAGAGAGAAGCAGATCAGCATTTGAGAGAAAACCAACACTCCACGGCAGCGTTTTTTTTTTTTTGCTCCTCTCGCACGCGTGGTTGAAAGAAGGGTTAGGCGGCAGGGACGGGAAAGGGGGAAGCGTAGCACCGGCGCGTGAGGGACCCCCCCCCCCCCCCTCAAGGCGCAAGGCCGTGCTTCCGCAAGGGGCAAGGGCTGCAGGAGATAGTGCCTTTTTTTTTTTCCCCTTCAACCACACATTCATTCAACCCAGCGACAACTTTCTTTTCTTTTTTTTCCTCTCTCTCTTCACGCGCCGCCTTGGAAGTAGAAGGGTCCTTACGTGGCAGGGATGGAAAAGGGAGAAGCGTGACACGGGCGCATCGCAGATCGGCATTTCAGAGAGGGCAAACATTCTACCGCAGCCTTTTCTTTCCTTTTCATTTCCTTCGCCGGTAGCGTTGAGGTGTCGCAGGTGCCGGCGCGGGATTGGGCGGGGTGCTGAGAGCATTTTCGGAGCGCAGCATGTTCGAATTAACCGTCGCAAGTGCTTGCGCTTTCGATTTACCAGGCGTTTTTGCCCATTGGAATACACATAGCGTTGACGGGACCTCGTCGTGAGTTCGAATTAACCGGAAGTTCAAATTAGCATGTTCAAATGAATAAGATTCGACTGTAGTAACCATACTAACGATGCTATCAAAAAGAGCGATAGCGAAATAGTGTGTGAAGGCCACCAAGACGTGACTTTTCCGGTATTTCTTTGTTAGTCACGCGCTGTGATCGGAAGCAGTCTTTGACGACAGCAGGCGAGTGAAATGCGAAAGAAAACGTTTTTCGTCGTCTGCTTGAGTTTTGAGCTTTGAGGACTCATAACTTCACTTTTCGTGCACCAGTTTTCATCATTCTTGTTGCATTCATCTCAGCAACCATTGCTACACACGCTCCGATGTTAAATAAAGCTGTCGCAAAAGTGTCGCAGGGCCCCTTTGAGGTCTTAACCATACAAGCAATCAGCAACAGTCACAATTATATGTGGTGCTAACCACACAAGCTACATATCACAGTCCTGCTTATAGATGGCAATAATATGAGCAATGAAGCCGAGCGAAAATTTTCTGAGACGCTCATTTCTTTGTTAGGCACAACCAAATGAACCAAACAGATAATGGAAAGCATAGGGAATCCTTCCTTCTTCACCATTGGCCTAATCCCACGCATACTTGGCCTGACTGTCTCTTTAATTTATGTAAAATAGGCAGTCACGCTCTCGACCGTACACAGCAACTATAAAGCAGTCACTTACATTCACAGCAATACAAGGCAACAATAGAAGCAGTCACTTACGATCACGACCGTACATGGCAATGGCCACCAGGAGCTCTTCAGCAGGCAGCTTGGCTTCGAGTGCGGGGGCTCCGGGAATCTCCAGCCTGACAATGGGAACAAGCGACACCCACGTGTTGGCAGGGGCAAAGTGGCTGTCCCAGGCCACCAGGTGTACACGACCTGGACCTCCTCGTGTCACCACTGCAGACGACCTGCCAAATGTGGGGCCCTCGATCGTAGCCCACGCTGGTGCTTCCTGGTCCAGGTGCCACCGCACTGCAGCTCCCGTTCCTCTGAAGGCGTGCACTTCTACAGTGTACGCTAGCTCCTCGTTCAGCTCCCAGGGTAGCCAGACCTCCTCTGGTTGCACAGTCAGCCTCTCTCGAATGGACACCGACTGCTCTCCCAAGGCAGTGGCCAGCAGCAGTGACCCGTCCTGACAATAGCGATAGGCAGTTAAAACTTACCCCAGTTTTATCGAAATCTGCAGAAACAGCGGAGCTGCAGTTTGTCTTGCAATTTTGTGTGGGTTTCTGTGATTAGCTCATCTGTAGGGCGAAGAAGCGTGAAAAATTACGTGTGGCAGCCCTTGCCACATCCACTACCGCTACAGTGACTTTAGACCGTGCTCAAGTCCAAAGTGCCTTTTACTCTTCACTGTGTGGCAACTGTTGCATCTGCAACTGAGGCAGTGACGCCATCTATGGGTGTATCTGAGTACTTGAGCATGACATGCCACATGGACACTGATCTGTCGTCAGGCCTAGCCCTAGAACAACTATGCTGTTAAAATAGAAACATGAGGTGCAGTTCTGTAATATGTCCGATGCAAAGGACATTTATTTTGTGTCTTTAATGTCAGTGTCATTGTGAAGGATTCAATAAATGCCCCAGGCCGTGCGTGTGCCGTCAATTTCGCTTGCAACTACGAGACCTTTTTCGCTATTGAGTAAACTATGAATCCATTTCGGTAATAATTTTTTATTTTTCAGAGATTGTTTTGCTCTTCCCCATTGCCCTTTATTTCATTATTCTCTGGGCATGAACCAGTTTACTGTAAATGGGTCTTTGTCGCCATGTCGAGTGACCCGCCTAGTCATAGCAGGCAGGCAGCATAATACTAGATGAAGTTGCTTGAAGTGACTGATCCTTTCTTTCATATGACAGTGTAATGTTTTGAAGAGAAGCACAAAGTATGAATGTTGCCTTAGCGAGGCTACCCAAGTAAAACTTTACTAGCTGGAGTAATTTAATAAGCGTTAAACTAGCATCGTTTAAACAGTCTTGTTGTAACACAAATGTATGTCATCCCCTCACCCCACACACAAAATCCTGCAGATGCCCATGTTTTATGGCATGTTAATTTACGCAATCTGATTAACAAGCATAACAAAAAGGATAAAGTTTAGCAGGAGAGCTTGAATCTACTAGTTTCAATAATGGAGAATGAAATAAATGTTCCTTTTAAAATTACCTTCTCTTAAACAAGACTTCATTCACTATTTTCAAGGAATTATTTACCTCTTTTTAATGTGTTAAAGGCTGACATGGTGCTAGCTTTTTTAAAATTTATTGATTAATTTTAATGAACTCATTTTTATTTTTTGATTAATTTTGATGAACTGCCAGAGATAATGTATACTTGTGTGCTGATCTCAAATATGCAGCGATTTTTTCAGTACAATGTGTAATTTTTAGAACATGACACTTTACGTGCCGCCTCTTGACGAGCAAATTTTATAAAATAAAATGTCAATGTTACAAAGTAATCAGTACATCACCATACTCTGGAATCAGAATCGAGTGCAGTGCAATAAAAATAGATGTTCTAAACACATTAGAACAAACGTTACTGTAATCATAATTTTGAACATTAACGAGGGAGAGGCCAGCTTGAAATTCACTTGCAGATGAATTTCTAAACTAAGGGAGTTACTTTATAACTCCCTTAGTGTATAAAAAAAATGTTGCTCCCAAATGTGCGCAGAAAATATTTTGTATTAAAAAAAACACCACATTAGGCTAAAAAATAATCTCGTATTACAAATTGGCACAAAGTGTACACGAAATCACCAAGTTTTGTCAAAATCAATTGAGAAATAAAATTTTTAAAACCAATGATCCGCCTTCAATATGTATCCTTTTTTTTGAAGCCGCATCGAGGAGCTGAAATTATGATAAAACAAACAAGTTTTCTCGTTCCCTTCGACTTCATTTTTAAAAAAGGTGCCTACTTTGTTTAGCATAGTTTGGCGAAAAATGTGGAGGGAGCTCAATCTTACTCGTGAAGTATATTTCGCCCTTCGTACTTGCTTGGACTGAGACTTGCCAAAATTTTCCGCAACGGGACTCACTCGGACTCAAGCTCACCAAAATATTACTGACCTGGACTAACCCAGACTCACTGCTTAATTCTAGTCTAAGTGAATCAATTCATTAGTCCGTTAGCATATAATTAGCATTTTTCGACCATGATGTCGATGATCCCGAACACCAATATCTTGCATAATCAGTGCTCAAAATGGCCCTTTTCAAACTTGCACTGTCACACACTCCAACTTCAATATAACGAGCCCAAATATAACGAAACGTTAGTTATAACAAAGTAGATGAAAGTAGTCTTGTAATAGACTTAGGTACAAATAAACCTTTAAAGAAATTCTTTAGTATAATGAACTTATTTTCGAGTAAGATGCAACTTTGTAATAATAAGGTTTGAGTGTATACGAGTTACCAATGCTTCTAACCGAGTAAGGACGTTTTTATTAAAATAAATAACTTGCACGAGATATTTTTAGTAGGCTTGTGCAAACAGCGAATTTTAGGTTTGAAGCAAATCAGAAGCAAATAGAAATTTTGGTCAAATAATTTCGAATCGAATTCGAATACGTTGTACATATCACATATAATTAAAAAAAAATAGATATTTTTTCATGACCGAACTAACCTGCACAATTTTTTTTAAAACCGAAACAAGAGTTGTGCAAATGTCATTCTTTTTTATATATGTACTAGCAACTTTTGATATATGTAGCAGGATTTGTCTTTTGGTAGAAAGTTCGTCTTTTGGTAGAATGAAACTGATAACCTGTCAAATATGTTACATTTTAAAATTTACTACAGCTAGAGCATACATATGCCGGTACACTCAAACCTCGATATAACGAATCTGGATATAACAAAATATAGGTTATAACGAAGTAAATAAAAATAGTCTTGTAATGAATTTAGTTTTAAGAATAAACCTTTACAAGAAATTTTTGGATATAACGAACTTATTTTCATGTAAGATGCAAGTTTGTTATAAAGAGGTTCGAGTGTATAACAAGCTCCTAAACTTAAACAGGAAGAATCGATGGGAGAGTAATGTGTTTATTTAACCTTGTAGCGAGACTTTGCAGCAGTGTGCGCAGATTTTCCTTGGAAAGGTGTATTCATGGTAAAGCAGCATCAATTGCAGTGAAATTAATTTACAGGGGTGTATCATGCAGTGCAATAAAAATAGATGTTCTAACACATTAGAAAAACGTTACTGTAATCATAATTTTGAACATTAACGAGGGAGAGGCCAGCTTGAAATTCACTTGCAGATGAATTTCTAAACTAAGGGAGTTACTTTATAACTCCCTTAGTGTATAAAAAAATGTTGCTCCCAAATGTGCGCAGAAAATATTTTGTATTAAAAAAAAACCACATTAGGCTAAAAAATAATCTCGTATTACAAATGGCACAAAGTGTACACGAAATCACCAAGTTTTGTCAAAATCAATTGAGAAATAAAATTTTTTAAAACCAATGATCCGCCTTCAATATGTATCCTTTTTTTTGAAGCCGCATCGAGGAGCTGAAATTATGATAAAACAAACAAGTTTTTCGTTCCCTTCGACTTCATTTTTAAAAAAGGTGCCTACTTTGTTTAGCATAGTTTGGCGAAAAATGTGGAGGGAGCTCAATCTTACTCGTGAAGTATTTTCGCCCTTCGTACTTGCTTGGACTGAGACTTGCCAAAATTTTCCGCAACGGACTCACTCGGACTCAAGCTCACCAAAATATTACTGACCTGGACTAACCCAGACTCACTGCTTAATTCTAGTCTAAGTGAATCAATTCATTAGTCCGTTAGCATATAATTAGCATTTTCGACCATGATGTCGATGATCCCGAACACCAATATCTTGCATAATCAGTGCTCAAAATGGCCCTTTTCAAACTTGCACTGTCACACACTCCAACTTCAATATAACGAGCCCAAATATAACGAAACGTTAGTTATAACAAAATAGATGAAAATAGTCTTGTAATAGACTTAGATACAAATAAACCTTTAATGAAATTCTTTAGTATAATTAACTTATTTTCGAGTAAGATGCAACTTTGTAATAATAAGGTTTAAATGTATACGAGTTACCAATGCTTCTAACAGAGTAAGGACGTTTTTATTAAAATAAATAACTTGCACGAGATATTTTTAGTAGGCTTGTGCAAACAGCGAATTTCAGGTATGAAGCGAATCAGAAGCAAATAGAAATTTTTGTCAAATAATTTCGAATCGAATTCGAATACATTGTACATATCACATATAATTAAAAAAAACTAGATATTTTTTCATGACCGAACTAACATGCACAATTTTTTTTTTAAACCGAGACAAGACATATGCAAATGTCATTCTTTTTTGTATATGTACTAGCAACTTTTGATATATGTAGCAAGATTTGTCTTTTGGTAGAATGTTGTCTTTTGGTAGAATGAAACTGATAACCTGCCAAATATGTTACATTTAAAAATTTACTACAGTTAGAGCATATATATGCCGGTACACTCAAACCTCGGTATAATGAATCTGGAAATAACAAAATATCGGTTATAACGAAGTAAATAAAATAGTCTCCTAATGGATTTAGTTTTAAGAATAAACCTTTATAACGAATTTTCGGATATAACGTACTTATTTTCATGTAAGATGAAAGTTTGTTATAAAGAGGTTCGAGTGTATAACAAGCTCCTAAACTTAAACAGGAAGAATCGATGGGAGAGTAATGTGTTTATTTAACCTTGTAGCGAGACTTTGCAGCAGTGTGCGCAGATTTTCCTTGGAAAGGTGTATTCATGGTAAAGCAGCATCAACTGCAGTGAAATTAATTTACAGGGGTGTATCATGCAGACCAATATCAATCTATTGTTTGATTCCAAATACTTTAAAATTTCCATTGTATTAAATTTGCATCGAAAGGAGTTTGAATATGTGGACATTCGTTTGAATATTAGAAGTGCTCGAATATTTCCACAAGCCTGGTTATTATGAAGAACTACCAGTGAAAAGCGCACCCCCCTCCCATTGTAACTAATGATTCTGATCAATAAATATTGATCTGCCGTATGGATGCTAGTGGGTTGAGGTATGTGTGCGTACATGTGATTACAAATGTGAGCCAACATAAGGATGATATAATGTCGAAGTTGAGTAGATGAGTCTATAGGTTGGCATAAAATGTGGTGCTCACTCACTCACTCTAGAAATATATTTTGCACTTGGAACTCACTCAGACTCAGCCTCCTTAGCCTCACCAAAATTTTTGTCTATAGGAACTCACTTGGTCTTGAACCTAACTACAACTATTTCCCGAATGGACTCACTCGGTCTCAAACTCACCGTAATATCACTCACCCGGACTCACTCGCTGCAAAATAGCAACTTAATCCGAGTCTAGGAGGGGTCTGAGTGAGTGACTAATGAGTGAGCTAGCCGATCTGTGCTGTTCAGGCATTCCATGCGAAAGTATAACTGAAAACATTCAGGTTTGTAACCTGATGTCCTTGTTATGTATTCTTGTACAACTCACCGGTTGCCGGCAACCCAGCAGCTCTGCACGAATCACAGCACTGCCCTTCTGAAGGGTGCGCACCCGGTGGCCTGTGCCATTTTCGGTCGAGTAGTTCACCTCGAAATATTCCGGAGGAAAATGCACATTCACTCGGAGACCCTGCAAAAAAAAAGAAAACTGAATATTTGGATCCTACAGTGGAGCAATACTGTTCCACATAGGTGAGTACGGTTTCTCTCTTAAAACACTATATGTCATGCTGTAATTATGCTGATAGATAACGTTGCTGCCATATAAACATGTCTTTTTTTAATTCGGTGATCACACTTTCTTTTTTTCTTTAAAGCAGTATCTGTCCCACGATGTTCGTGCTGATGAAAGCATTGCTGTCAATGTCATGAAAACGTAAAAAAAATTGCACCTTATTAGTTCCTGCTCTTGTTTCACTTGATACCAGTACTGTTTTCTTTTTGAAGCTCTGTGATTTTAATTTATTATTTAAAGCAGTGTCTGTCATGCTATAATAATGCTGGTGGATAATATTGCTGTCATTTAAACGAAACATAAAAAAAACTTGCATGTGATTCAGAGTTCGAGCTCTTGTTTCATTTTATTCTACTACTGTTTTCTTTGAAACTCATGCTCTGACACTGTTTGCAGATTTCAAAATAAAGCCAAACTTTGCATGACAGAGTGCTCAGAACCTCAAAATGCGTTGCTTACGGGTCACTTCATCGTTAATGCCACTCACCATCCTGCCGGTGTTGTCGCTATGGGATATTGAAAAAATCCATAATGATGTATGTCATTTCAGTAATGAGACGTTTGTTGCTGATGCACTTGTTCTTGAAGGGTTTGCAGCAGAGAGATTTGACTGAATGCTACTACAAAGAAAAATGACAAATGACGCAGCACATTCAAAGCAATAGTGGCCTGCAGTCCCACAGAAAACTAAAAACAAATACTTGCAGCCAAAAAGTTGGCGGGGTATGGTTGTTGTCACCTCTGAATCAGTGAAGTGCCACGCACTTAATGCTAAATGTACAGATTTACCTCTCCTGGCAGTAAGTCAACTTTCATTTCCTTTCCTTTTATGTTATTTCTCCATTTCAATAAAACAATCTATTCAATCATCTTTTTTGTTTCATCAACTGGTCATTCAGACTGTTCAAATCCACAAACACAAACACACACACACACAAAAAAAGACAGCAGATTGAACATGCCCTCCTTTTGTTTAACGTTTTCTGCGAGACTCTTAAGCATTCAGCTGAAAGCTATCCGATGTGGCTACTCTACCATTTAAGCTGACATCTAACGTTCACTACATCATGTAACTCACTTTCGATAATTACCTCAGTACTCACATTGTTTTGATTATCATTCCATAACTACCTTTCATTAGTCCCTAACTCACTAAATTTCATTGCAGCCCAGTAAGGCTACCATGTAACAGTTTTCGCAGCATACCTCACTGGCGTGGATCCGATGCTGCTGCTCGTCGAAAAGCTGCACCTCCACCCAGTACGAGGCCTGATGCTCTAGCACCCAAGCGTCTCCAGGAGACACCAAAAAGCCTACAAAGCAGAGTACAGGCGCTTGGGAAAAGTGTCAGGAGCCTTCAATGTCTTTCTTCAGCCAACAATCGTCAAATAATGAGTATTGGAGAGTATGGCACACGATGCTTGCCTGTGTGTTCTTAATGGTTGACGTCTCATGTTTTAATTTCAAGCCCATTCGTATCTAACCAAAAAAAACGCTGATCAGTTCGATACATATTAGGCACACGATAAATGCATTGACAGGAAATCCTTTATGCATTTGTTGACTGTGAACTCCACCCTAGCATGGGTTCTAGCAGAAAGGACATCTGTAATGCAACCAACGGAGAATTTGACATATATGAATACTGTACACACAGAATGGTAGAATGTAGTAGTAGTACAATACAATACCTGTATTGGAGCAATCACTGCTTTCATTAATGCTAATATCTCACGCACTACCAATTTGTGTATATCCATGGTTGTAGTTATTCTGCTGCTTTCAAAAATCAAATGCTGTAGTATGGATGGAGTCAAACGGTGTATGTCACAGTGGCAATGCTGAAAGCCTACAGACACATTATACTAACAAGGCGACATCATCTTTAGGAATGACATTTTGCAATGACAGTCAGCCTAGCAATGACACTTTGAGCAACACTGGTTGCTTGACCAGTAAAGCCTTTTTATTCAGCAAGTTTAATCCCTTAGCATCTATCGCGACCCCACAAGAACATATCACGAGTGTGTTAACTGATAAAACTGACCCATCTCTCCTTACAAAATGGTCACTTAATTTCTAAGCTGCATAAAAGATGCCCACGGCAACACTGTGTCAGTTGACAGAAAGAAAAGCACATTTATGCGTGTCGCATGATTGCTCTGCTATCTCTCACGTTTCTCGACTATTGGCCTCAGGCATACGGTTTACCCAAACAGGACTTTGTTCAGTGGAGTCGTTAGGCAGATGTTACAAGAAGTGGTGTGAGCGGTACAATGCCAGCGCTGTCTGCTACAGCAGATAACCTACGAACAGAGGAACTGGCTTCTTCCTGTTTGGTTTCAAGATAGCATTGCTCCTTACTACTAAAACGATAGCCTTCCTAACACAACTAATAGTGATGTTTGTGCTATTTTTTTAAGCTGCTCATTTCAACAGGAACAAGGAAGCTTACTCACGCAAGTAGCTTGGCTTGACGACGTGCACATCAGCAGTCGGTTGACGGCCATCCACGGACAGGTCTGGTAGCTGCTAAGGAACAGTCTAAGGACGCCATGTGCACTCTCTTGTAAGTTATTTTTTTTTTCTTTCATGGCTGCACGCATTAGTTTCCTATACAGTACAGCAACAGGCACAGAGGTCGCAAGGTTCGAAAACTTATCAAATAGCACGTGCCATTTTCGATAATGGAGAGCACAATTCCTTCGGCTAGCTGCTTTGTCAAACACCTCACACGCGCCCGCGGACCCCCATTGCTGCACACGTTTTGCATCGTCATTAATTTTGGCCACGGTTTTGAAGATCAGCCTATACGTGGTGCCTAAAAGCCTACATTACGGTGCAAAATGATGATTTATTAGGATGGTGAAAAAAAAAAAAAAACTACTTTGGTGCGATTTGGTGCTCTAATGGGAGCACTCTGAGGGGTATGATAGCAAGAAAATGCTGCCCTGTGACAGATACCAGAAATGTGACACAAAACTCGTCGCCTAAATCAGGCCTAAAAAGTGTACTTTGATGGTTCTAGGGCTGATCATAACCAAGTTTTCTGCAAGGTCATTTTACAAACCTATAGCTTTGGAAAACTATGATCTAATGAAACATATACTGAAAAAAAAAAAAACGCGAGCAAGCTTCGATATAGAAAGTACCAGAAAAAAAATGTGTTGATGAGAAACTAACAAATTTGACATTGTTTACAGTAATGAAACAAACAACACAGTGCACTTTAGCAGCAAAGGATACGTGCATTGGTCAGCAGAACCTGGGTGTGACCCAGTTTTCGGGCCAACACGCACAGGCCCTCTAGACTTGCCACCTGGCTGTCTTCGATGCGCTGTGTGTATCGCTTTGACGGGGCCACAGCTACAAACATGCATACAGATTCAAGTCAACACTGCTAGCAGGTGCATCGACAATTTACTCGGAGATAACATTTCACAATTTTGCAGAAGGTCATTTTCACATTTAGTTACTGTTATTTTACTGCTTTATGAAATTTAAGGCGCGTTTAAGAAATTTATCTTCTTGTAGAGTCAACTGCTCTTTTTAGGTGTCCAGTTTATCGGATGCGCTCGAAAATTGGTATGCTTGCGTACGCGACACCGCCACAAATCTCATAAAGTCAATGTATAGAAATGCCTAAAATTTTGTGAGGTGGAGCTGTTTGGTGTCCGATGTCTTGAAATTCCTGCTCAAGCTAGAGGCGCAAAACGACATTATTACTTCTAGCCCCCACCGCTACCACTGATTACTGCGAGACTGTTCACTGCCTTGCAAATCGATAAGCACAAAAAATTTTCGAATTTCCCAAAAAATGAGCAGAGTTGAATAAACTGCACACTTTAAGCTCTTTCTCTTCTTTTTGTAGAATGCTAACTGATTGCAGTGCAAGGGCTAAATGTTCAATGATTTGAAGCAGAAACACTTAATATAGCAAAGCAGTTTTGCTCACGTGTACAGGTAATTAACATGGTAGAGTAACCACTTAAACAGTCATCGCTACTCGGCCAAAATATTTTCAATGGGCTTGTGCATATATCCAAATGCTTCGAATATTCGAACAAACAATTCAGTATTTGAATTCGCTATGAATCGAGTTTAAATTATTGAAAATATAGAATTATTTGAGACAAACGAATGGATGCATATTAGCCCACATGTAACAACAGTGTAAAGATACTGTAACTGTAACAGTAAAAGATACTGTAACAACAGTGTAAAGATAATACACGCCGTGTGTGTATTATTTCACATGTAACCTTTTGTGAAGTGACTTCACTGCAGTGAAGTAAAGCTTAGCCGTCAAAACACCTGTCCAAGGGAAATTTGCACCACCACGAAGCTTGACTTCAAGGTTATATTGCCCTCACATTGATTCATTTTTTCAGTCGAAAAGCTCATTATGCCGACTTATATGCTCTAAGTATAGCCTATTTTGAAAGTAACACAGTTCACAGGCTGACACTTGTATTCTACCGAAAGTCAAACCCTGCTACTATTTAAAGTTGCTTCCACTTCCTTTGATCCAAAAAAAAAAGGGGCATTTGCACAGGCCTTGTTCAAACTTTTGATTGATTGATTGATATGTGGGGTTAAACATCCCAAAACCATCATATGATTATGAGAGACCCCGTAGTGGAGGGCTCGGAAATTTCGACCACCTGGGGTTCTTTAATGTGTACCCAAATCTGAGCACACGGGCCTACAGCATTTCCGCCTCCATCGAAAATGCTGCCGCTGCAGCCGGGATTCGATCTCGCGACCTGCGGGCCAGCAGCCAAATACCTTAGCCACTAGATTACCACGGCGAGACTTGTTCAAAGTTTTAGAAAATATTGTGCAAGTTAGTTTGGTCATGACAAACATGCCCCTCTTTCTTTATAACATGCGAGAGATATACATAATTATAAAATTCGATTCAAAATTATTTACCAAAATGACCATTCGCTTGCAATTGGTTTCGAACCTAAAATTCACTACTCGCACAAGCCTAATTTTCAAAACTTTACTTATATTACAAAGCTTCCATTCTGGGACGCTCGTATGGCTTTTCTTTAATGTCCTGTGCTAGAAAACTGCTGGATAGTTGTTTTGTAGGCATGGGGGAGTACTCGAAGTACTTGGAGTATTTTAACGAATATCGCAATATTGGCTTCGACCCAAATTTAAATCATATAAAATTTTGGATTTGTCGAAACGAAAGAGTAAAGGTATGCTTGACTTCATGTAGCCACTATTTAGTAAAGAGTGTTTAATTGAAATTTAGGGCGCTCTACTATGAAGCCACACATCAAGGTTAAAAGTAAAAAATGAAAAATAAAAAATGCACTGAAGTGCCAGTTATAAGCAGCTATTTTTTTTTTGTAGAAGCAAAGTTTGGGGTGCGGGTCATATGTGAGAGAACACAATATTTACTTCACCTCAAATATTTTTTTATAATTGGCAAGCTCATAATACTGGTTTATATGTGCTTAGTATCGTAAATTTAAAATGCAATGTATTTCACTACTTTTAATTTCTGCCCTACTGCTAATGAAATCTTGCTTGGACTTGAAAAGACAAAAAAATAAAGCAATATTCACATGTGCACTTCAATAGAGCACATGTGCCTACTTTAAATTCTTGAAAATCTTTGCGAAAGTAAGCTAACGACAAAAATTCCCGTTTTTCTTTGTAAGACGAGATATGCACTTTTCAATCTTTTTGAATAAAAATGATCTAACCAAATCCCTATTCACTAGAAACCGCAATTTCACTATTTTTTAGGGGTGTGCGAGTATTCAAACATTCCAATATTTGCCGAATAGTGTTTCCTATTTGATTTGATCTGAACTGAAATGTTCAGTATTCGAACTTCCCAAGACAAATACAGTTAATGTCTAATTAACAATGACCCCTACAAGTTTTTTTCATATGCTTAACCCCTTAACATGATCTCACTGCGGCGAAGCTGCCGTTCAGACTGCTATGATAGCAAAAGTATCAATTCGAGAAAACACAGATTCCAACCTGGAGATGCACTTCGCTGTTACACTGGCTCTTTCGTATCAATATGCTTCATCACACTACATTTCAATATTGTGACAAAGTCGTCTTCAGAGCTCTACTGCGGTCGTAAGTGGATGGACTCGCGAAAGCACTGGTTCGAACATACGTGACATAGGTGGGGCTTTAATTAATGCTGTTTTGGGCCAAAAAGTCTGAAAAAATCGAACAAAGATTATCGGCTTTTGAAATTTCAGATATTTTTGCACATTGATGTCTACAGAGCAGATTAGCAACTACAAATCCAAAGGGAGCATGACCTTGTCTGCCAAATCAGTTGGGCTTCCATAGAAATTGAGGAGGGGAAAGGTGAAAAAACAGTCTTTTCCTTTCATGTGTACAGTAATGTTAACACCGCATTGGTTGCATCAAATCATGTAAATAAATGCAATTCAGTCTCTGCATTGCCTAATCCTTGATAAAATAACTAGGGAACACCATCCCTACAGCATTTAACCAACCTAGCCAATAGAAACTCATCCATCTGTCTCAAAAGAATACGCTTGGGGATCCTCTGCAAATTTTTCTAGTAGTTTTCACATTGAAATATTTGGAAAATATTACACAAATATTCGACAACTATTTGACTCGAATCGCACTCACACTTTAAAGGGACAGTAAAGGCGGCTATTAGGTGGACTTTGATTGTTTAAATAGCGGTTCAGAAACCTTGTAGTGTTAACTTTGTGCCAAGAAAGTGCTTATTTTGAAATAAGATCATGTTTTTTTGAGGTCCGCATCGGGTTAGTGCTCAACAAATTACCGCCTCAAGTGGAACGTGTCCTGTCACTGTTGCCGTGAACAACGTTGCCCAGCTTTACTGCGCGGCCACTGACATTAGTAGCAGCAGAACAAAAGTAGTGGGAGCCACAGCAGCAACAACGGACATTGAACAATTTCTCCCCATTGGCTCCGAAATGGCAGACGTGCTTGGTTCAAACGGGCCTTGCTAGATGGCATGACTTGTCCAGTTTAACCACGCGAAATTTTAACTTTTGAACCACTTGCGCCATTCACAATAGTAACGTCCGGCGGTTCTTTTTTCATGAATCAAATACAAACAAACAAGTTGAACTTTATTACGTTTATTGATGCATGGAAGGTGCTTTGCTTAGTGGAGCTAGTCTAACTACTAGTAATTATTTGTAGGTGGTTCCTCTGACACAATCCGGATCATTTTGCGAATGTCTCATCGTACCGCATGCGTTTTCGTGCATTTATCTCAATTTCTTGGTAAGTAGGGCACTGCTGTTGATAATACTGTCGTTTTAGATATCATACATTGAGCTTTCACTCTGCCATAAACTGTTATTTGACTTTAGTGTCAGTTTAATATTCGAATTTGCTTTGCACCCAAAATTTCACTATTCACACAGCTCTAATATTTGTCCATCCCAACTGTTTTGCCTTCTATAAAACTACCACAACTGAATGCCGTATTGGTACTAACGGCTTGGTGGGCGTCCCTGCATCAGTCGCTGCAGCTGGAAGCAGGCCTGGCAACCGGGCAGAAGGTACACAGTCGAGGGTTCAAGCCGCACACTGTCCACAACGCGAAGCTCCAGGTCCTGAGGCACCAAGTCCTTATAGGCTGAGTGCATGGGTCGTACGGACACCCGAGCCGTGCCCGCTGTCTTGCCCTCGAGAAGCACTGCCCAGCCACGACGGCTCTTAGACTCCCAGAAAAGCAGTCCAGGACTTGGCAGTTCATACGGCCACTCCGATGCTGGCACGAACCTGATTAAAGTGAAACTTTTATCCATACGATTGCTCTGGTAAATGGAAAACTGCCGTTGACCAAGAGACACTACGATTTAATTAAAGGGGCTTTGACACTGGAGGTTTTTCACGGAAACATGTTCAGAAGTCCTACATGGTTCCTTTCCGTATGCACGTATAATGTTTGCTCATGTGCACTTGTCAGCCATTTCCATATCGCCGCCTTTCCATAACGTGTGTCCGTAGCTTGCTAAAAATCTCTACTGCCAGCCAACAATACAAGCCAATACCGCGCCCTCTGGATTGTCCTACTAGATAGAAGGTAACTAAAATAGCATGCCAACATTGTTTGATAGTAGAACACAAAAGACTAACATTTCAAACAATAAAGAATGGTAATTTGTGTTATAGGGCGTAATTCTCACACGTTCCTGAATAAGCTGGTAAAATTTTAGTGCGTTTGGTGAGCCACATCATTTACAATTGGACGTTTTTATAAATGCACAAGCAGCCCGAGAGTCGGAACACGCTGGTGCACTTGCAGATGACAGAAGCTGTGTGACTGCGTTAGCGCTCACATTCCAGTGAATGATTTTTTTTTTTTTTTTTTTTTTTTTCAGAAGTCAGTTGCATATGCAGACAAGCTGTTTCAGCATTCTCCAGCTTGGCAGCAAAATTGAATGATTTTCAGTGGCTGTGGCTGAAACTTTGGTAGCACACAGCGGCTCCACTCCGCACAGCATCTGATGTCACACACGCTATGGCAAAATGGCAGTTGCTAGTGGTGGAACAGGTTTATAGCCAGCAACTTGTAGGGCTTATTTTACACTAAAATATTCATTTAGAGTGCACTTTTCGTTTATGTATAGGCACAATAAAACCTCGATTTCTTATTTGAGTGGGAAACTGCAGATTATTCAGTGACTGCGTGATGACTTCTCTTAAGGCCCTACACCACTTAAAGGAAGTTGCTACCTGAATGAGCTTTGATGTTCATGAGCAACTGCTTACTAGCAGGCTTAGCATGACAAAACTGATTGTTATGCAAGTTCTCGAAATGAAGTGCTACAGGTCATCCCAGCAACACCAGGGTAAGTGCCAGGGTATGTGAAATGTCGTCCTGGTATGGGCATTTCTAGCGCTACCCGTGCAGCATTTAAGTCCACTTTATTCACTTAAGAAGGGGAACCAACATCCTTGGTCTCAGCACCAGAACCCTACACTTAAATTGAGTGTCCCTTGGCCACACGCTCACCTGAGTACAGGCTCGTACTGTTGTAAGCTCCAGTCAAAGGAGATGCCCTCAATGGAGGAGAATGTGTCCCCTGCAAAGCAGCAAACAAAAATGAAAGAAGAGCATCACCACAACGCTCTGCTTACTAAACAGACCCCACTTAATGATAATAATTATTGGGGTTTAACGTCCCAAAACCACGATATGATTATGAGAGACGCCGTTATGGAGGACACTTAAAAAATTTGACCACATGAGGTTCTTAAAGTGCACCTAAATCTAAACACACAGGCCTCAATCATTTTCGCCTCCATCGAAAATGTGGCCGCCATGGCCGGGATTCGATCCCGTAACCTGCAGATGAGAGGCTTAGCCACTAGACCGCCGTAGCGGGTAAAACATGCCACAGTTGTTGAAGAAAACAAATGTATTGTGATGTAGCATTTGTTGTGTAGCTACTCAACAAAACTAAGTCTCTTCCATGTCTTAAGTAAAATAGGGTGAGAAACGACTGCCCTCCATCTACACAGTAATAGCTACTTCTTGCAGCTTCCGCAAAGGGAAAGCACGGAAGCAAAAGCGCAGTGGAAGACCGCATCCCTTGCCAACATTCCTTCACCGCATCAATTAAACCACCGCATACAATCTCAATGCTCTCCCATCACAGCACATGTTTCTTGCGGAGCTAAATTTAGGGTATTTAAGTTCATAATGATAATGATGGAACTTTCGTAATGAATATACTCCTGAATATTGTCAATACATTTTCAGTACCTCTTCCACATTATAATGATAACACTCCAAACTTCGTGATGCTTTCATATTCTCTCGAGAAAGCATGGTCTTTGAGATTTACATCAAAAACTGTACGAATGACCGTGGTGAATGAAGGCCACAAGTGTGGCGCGTTAAATTGTAGCAGCAATAACCATGAGAACAACGTTGAGCACCGGGAAAAAACAATAGGTGTGCTAGCTGTTCAAAGAACGTGACTAGGGTGCGCGGCATGAGCACATCGTATACTTGTGCCCGGGTTTCCAAGGCATCCGCCTAGCTAGCGAAGACCTTCGCGTGAACCAGGCAAAAGACAGCGCCGCAGATGATGGCATCCACCGAAAGAGAGCCGTCGGGTAAAGGGTGCCAGCTTGCAGACTTCTACCACTTCATCCTTTTCACCCGACTACTTACATGCCAAAACCGCTGCTGAGCGACACCACCCTTTCTACATGAGGAATCCCTCGATGACTTTAGCGGATTATTATGCATGACTGTTCAGATCCTTAAAGGTTTCGTTGGGTTAATGAGAACTAGCTGCTTCCAGCCTGGCTGGCGCTTGTTGGTTTACCTTTTGTTGATTTGATTGTTTCCGTTCCATTTATCTTGCGTGCGTGCAAATATATTCTCCTTTCCCTAAAAACCAGATGCCCACCTCCATCTCTTGTTCAAGAAGTGTATTTCATATCTAATTCAATTTGCTTTGTTAACCGAACCTATTAGGATGACGTACTTCAGGAATAGATTATGGCACATGCAGTTAGCAATAGCAAGAGCTTTGAGAACTGTGCATTTTACCTAGAACTACTGCATCGGTGTGGGCTCAACATCAGAAATGCTTTCATGCCTTCCCAAATCTGATGCTAATACTGCTGCCAGCATCACTTTGTGTTCCTTTTATTTGTGGATAATCGTGCAAGTGCGCGGCACATGTTTTGTATTGTTGGTGCGGCTTCGTCAGTCGACAAATCTTAGCAGTGCGCGTTACTGTGTGCCATTTAGGAGGAGGTGAAGCAAAGGCCGCATTTTCAGACAATCACTTTTGGAAGTACTTTTGAGAGGTGTCCGGCTTTCTACGACCCATGGCAGTCCCACACTGTGCCAACTGTGTGCTGTTAAGGTGGTTTTGCGGTTTAGGGTGGCTTTCACTGAGCTAATGATAAATGTCTGCCTCCAGTCAGGCAGTTACTTGTTAGTTTACCCACTGTTGAATTTATTGTTTCCGTTCCATTTTTCTTCTGCGTGTGAAAATATATTTTTATTTCACTAAAAACCAAACGGTCATGTCCGTCTGTTAATCAGGAATAGTGTTTCAGATTTAATTCAACTTACTTCATTAACCAAACCTGTCACAATAGCGTACTTGAGGAATGGGCCAGAAGTGATTGCTTGCTAAGAATTTGAAACAACAATTTCGTCAGTCGTAGCGGAAGTTATGGTACCACAGGTGCTCAAAGATCACTTTGTGCTTACTGACCATAATAAATGCACCAGGCAAAACTGCACGATTTCTTTATGAACTGTTAGATCCAGTACCTTAACGACGCCCCCTGGGATGACACTGCTGGCCCCTACACCGAAAGTTGCAGCAATCGCAGTCACGACTCCCTTTATAAAAGGCTAGGGGGCATTTACTAAACAAGAGAAAAAACAAAAGCGCAGCATGATCATGTAGTATTCATATATAATGTAAAAGTTCATGAAAAATTTAGATCACATAATTGATTACTCACTTAAGTTGACACATTTTTTTTTTTTTGAAGTGTGATCATTATGTGAGTAAAAGATATAAGATAGGAAAAAAAATTATAGATGAACCCGAGAAGAGAGACGAGGTGGTCAGGGAACAGTTGGCTGTTAAGGAAATCTCAGTCAAAATCAGGAAGAAATGGCTATGGCCAGGTCATGTAGCTAGAAGGCAAGACAATCACTTATCATTAAGCGTAATATTGAAATCAGAGAGAAGGCAAGTCCGCGAGGGAGAGGAAGAAAGTCAGTTAGGTATATGAGATGAGATTAATAACCTTGAGGGGGAAAACCTGGGCACAGCAAGCCCGGGACTGGGTCCATTGGCAAAACACGGAAGACGCCTTTTTCCTGCAGTGCGCATATTCAGGCTAACAATGATGATAATAACATGAAAGCAAATATGGCAGAAAGAAAAAGTCCAACCTCCATGGACTACTATTTAAAGAATTGAAACAACTCTATCTGCTTCAAATGAAGCTCTACAATGCCGCTACCTTTTTGGTTAAAGCCCTGAACCTCGAGGAGCTCAGGCGAGTCCTCGAGCAGAAGCTCCCGCGTCGTGGTCACGACCTTGAGCGAGACGACCTGGTCAATAATCACATCACAGCGCAGTGTCTCGCCAGTGCCTGCATGAAACGCGAGAGAGTCAACACGAAACGTAACGCTGACCGGCAAGGTTGCCAGGTTTGACTACTTTGCATCGATTTTGCCACAATGCAAGACTTCTTGGATGTGGAAGTTCCATCTCCTATGCCTTCTGCCTCAACCAGCTGTCAACACGGAGCACAATAACACTGCCAGCTGCACTGTGCAATCATTACGAACACTAGCAATGGTTTCCCGTTGACTGCACTAGGATATTTATGGCTGTGGTTCTAAGAAACGTATTGTTGAGAAGCGTAAATAGCGGAAACAAACAAAATGTCAGATGGTCCTTGCTAAGAGCTCTTCTCTGAATGCCTTACAAATTTATCAAGTCAAATACCTACGAAATTATCAATCACTTCTTTTTGAGGTTTCTGCTAAAAAAAAAGGCACTTTCATGCAGTGCACCCAACTTCTCATAGTGGGTACAATGATCAAATGATCAAGTGGCAGCAAATGTGGCAAGCATTACTAGGCTTGTATGCACACATTGCTCCCATTTGCCTACTACAGTTGAACACCCTTAAAATACAGGCGAGTAGCACTTGTCTCATAGAGAGGCTTCTTTTATAAACAGGGTAGCGTGCTCTCTCTTTTTCATCAAACCCCCGTTTTGATGTGCACAGCTGGTGGTGCGCCTTATATACCAATTGCCTCTTAGATGAGTCTCCCTTGAAACGAATTCAACTGTTCCTCATTAAAGCAGCTCTTGGACAAACTATATGATTGCCTCATTGTGTACAACCCATATTAAAACAACTCAAGTGAGTTTCTGTCTTGGTTGCGATTTCTACCACTTGTAAAAAAAAGACCAGCAAAACAAAGAGCAAATCATGGGGTAACAGCCAATTACAGGCATCATGCGTATGCAAAATAACTTTCCCGCAAGAAAGCCATTCTTAGCATTCGGAAAATACAGAAAATGACGTGTGAGTATTTGTCTTGTTTAGTTCATACTTTTTGCTGTTAGGGAGAGAAAGAGCAAAAAGCTAAGAACACGCAGGGAGGTTAACAAGTCATTACTGTACACTGGGTGATGGTAAAGAGGGTGGCAAAATAAAATGAATGAAGGAAAGCAAGTAACAGGTAAGAACATGCTAGCAACATTCAACATACAGTCACAGGTGATCATAAAGTAGAATGTTCAGCAGCGATCTCAAAGGGGTCATAAACCAACTTTCTAAATAATCGAAGAATGACCTCAGTGTCGCAGTTTATTGGATTGTGAATAAATTGATGAAAACATTTCTTGAATTCCTCAAAAAGAGCGGAGTTGCAGGGGTTGTTCATTCTTTTGAAGCCTTTTCTCTTTTCTCTCATCCCGACACGCAGCCAGGAAATTACATAGTCATGGGTGTGGGAAAGAATTTAAATGAGCATGTGTCATCATCTTGAGCATGCATAATGAAATGCAATCACTCTTTCCCATTTTGGTTCCTGCACTCAACTCTGGCTCACTGCCTAGAGAGAGAGCACAGTGGCAGCACCCTGTGGCAAAAAGCATGTCTGATTTAAGCACCACTCGTTGCTCATGTAATGTAATTTTTCATGAAAAATTTACTTTGGATAATTGATTACTCACTAAAGTTGGCACAGTCTTTTTTTTTTTTTTGAAGTATGATTATGTGGGTGAAAGATATAAGATAGGAAAAAAAAGTTATAGGTGCACCCAAGAAGAGAGCAGAAGTGGTCAGGGAACAGTTGGCTGTTAAGGAAATCTCAGTCAAAACCAAGAAGAAATGGCTATGGCCAGGTCGTGTAGCTAGAAGGCAAGTCTGCGAGGGGGAGGAAGAAAGTCAGTTAGGTATATGAGATGCGATTGATAACTTTGAGGGGGACAACCTGGGCACAGCAAGCCCGGGACTGGGTCCATTGGCAAAACACGGAAAACGCCTTTGTCCTGCAGTGCGCATATTCAGGCTAATAATGATGATAATAACATGAAAGCAAATATGACAGAAAGAAAAAGTCTAACCTCCATGGACTACTATTGAAAGAATTGAAACAACTCTATCTGCTTCAAATGAAGCTCTACAATGCCGCTACCTTTTTGGTTAAAGCCCTGAACCTCGAGGAGCTCAGGCGAGTCCTCGAGCAGAAGCTCCTGCGTCGTGGTCACGACCTTGAGCGAGACGACCTGGTCAATAATCACATCACAGCGCAGTGTCTCGCCAGTGCCTGCATGAAACGCGAGAGAGTCTACACGAAACGTAACGCTGACCGGTAAGGTTGCCAGGTTTGACTACTTTGCATCGATTTTGCAACAATGCAAGACTTCTTGGATGTGGCAGTTCCATCTCCTATGCCTTCTGCCTCAAACAGCTGTCAACACGGAGCACAATAACACTGCCGGCTGCACTGTGTCCTACACTGTGCAATCATTACGAACACTAGCAATGGTTTCCCGTTGGCTACACTAGGATATTTATGGCTGTGGTTCTAAGAAACGTATTGTTGAGAAGCGTTAATAATGGAAACAAACAAAATGTAAGATGGTCCTTGCTAAGAGCTTTTCTCTGAATGCCTTACAAATTTATCAAGTCAAGTACCTACGGATTTTTCAATCACTTCTTTTGGGGGGTTTCCCCTAAAAAGAAGGCACTTTCATGCAGCGCACCCAACTTCTCATAGCGGGTACAATGATCAAATGGCAGCAAATGTGGCAAGCGTTACTAGGCTTGTATGCACACATGACTCCCACTTGCCTACTACAGTTGAAAACCTTTAAAACACAGGCAAACATAGCACTTGTCTCTTATGAGAGGCTTCTTTTATAAACAGGGTAGTGTGCTCTCACTTTTTCATCGAACCCTTGTTTTGATGGGCACAGCTGGTGGTGTGCCTTATATACCAATTGCCTCTTACATGAGTCTCCCTTGAAACGAATTGAACTGTTCCTCATTAAAGCAGCTATTGGACAAACTATGATTGCCTCGCTGTGTACAACCTATATTCAAACAAATCAAGCGAGTTTCTGCCTTGGTTGCAATTTCCGCCACTTGTAAAAGAGGCGGAAGTTTAATCATAAAGTTCAATCATAAATGCCAAAGTTCAATCATAAATTCTGCAACTAATTGTATAATTAATGTTAGTATTACTAATAGTGACCAGTTTAATGACACTTTAAGAAACCCACTTAAATTTTAACAAACTGGTGCCCCACAGTGGGGGAGTGCCAAAGACCATTTGTGCTTAAGCTTTGACAACAGTGACATTGCAGTTTTCTAATTAGGACCTTATAAATGGTAGAGAATGAAACGTGTGCTTCGATATGAACTTTGCATGTCAAGAGTGTGTCCTGCATTTCTGGCCTAAGCAGTCCAAACCACCAAAAGAGCAGCCCAAAAACAGAGACAAGAGGGGAGGAAGACTTTAAAATAGCCCTCGTTTTGTGCCAGTCATGGTACCAAGAACATCCCGCAAATCTGCGCCGTCAACAATACTCGCTTTTCTTGTGCAGCGTCATACGGGACCTTCGTATACTACATCATAACAGTGGCAATACCACGAGGCGCTGCCAACTCAGATAGCACTGTCGAATCTTTTAAAATCAAATTAAAATACCAACGTTTGCTGCTAATAACTGACCAGAAGAGACCACGAAAACAGGAAATTCAAACAACGCCAATATTTCAAGGTTTCAATTTTGCTGTCGAGGACCATTTAAGGTCCACAGAGCAGATTACGGTTAAGACCATCACCCTTGCATTTTTTTTTTTTTTGTGTGTGGAAGGGGGAGCTTTACGATTCAGTCGGTCTAAAGCAGCAAACAATGTCGATTCTTCACCGCAACACTTATATTGTGTTCAAAAGGACACCGTATAAAAAGATGTCCTAAGGCATAGGTGGAGGGTACAGGGAAGCATGGGCCCTTTCTGGACGATTAGGGGGAGGGGGGGGGGGGGGGGCTTGGCGCTGGCCTGGAATATTGTTCAAGAGCTTGGCTTAGATCCCCGTGCATTGACAACGGCTGTCGGCCATCCTGCCTGAAAACTGTTTCACAGGTGGCTATTTACACCCGCTTCTTTTTTTTTTTATTTCAGGCTTTTAAAATCGATCATCGACCCGTGACAAGTCAAACATTCAATTAAAAATGCCCTTCAAACGAACTTGTATGTGCCGAACATGTTGCGTTAAACTGGTGAAGCTACCCCTTAAGGTATGACAAGCCAGTCTTGAAATGCATGGCATCTGTTTTTCAGAACACAAAAATTCTACGGTGAACACAAAGCCATCCTTACACAATCAATTTGCAGATGCTCTATTTCGCACAGACTTGCTACTCGAGGGGTAATATTTTGCTAGTCTACAAATTCGTACCCTTCTACACGACTGCCTATAAATGTGACGTGAAAAGCCTGGTATGCAATTTTTATTTTTTCAGCAAAAGAATACTAACTGCCAACTGGCACCGCTGACCGAAAAGCAACTCATCCAGAAAACAACCTTCAGAGAAAAACATCGTAACTCCAGCTTCGCTGAAGCTCTACAGTGGTAGAAAATGATATTTGCTACCATTTGAGAATCACTATTGGTCGTCCTAAATTGAATTCATGGGCCTAATTAAAGCTTATTGTGCCAGCATTAGCCCCCATCCACACGCCCGTAGCCAGGAATTTGTTTCTGAGGGGGGAGGGGGGCGCTTGCTGAAGACTGAACATTTTAGAAAAAACAACTCTTTTAATTATCTTTGATAAAACACCCCCTATATTGTGAATTCGGAAGGATTAGGCTATGGCACACCCCCTGGCCACGTGCCTGGCCTTCTCTGCTATCCATGGTGCCCGATTTAATCAAGTAAAGCATGTCAATGAAAAAATTTGCAATATGCGAATCAATTTTGTGTGATGCAGTCACCGAGTGGCAGCCTGTGCGGCCTTTAATTTTATCGCTTGGGGCTAACCGTAGCAAGATAGATCGATGTTAGCATAAATTGAAAAAAATATATATATATATATATATATATATATAGAGAGAGAGAGAGAGAGAGAGAGAGAGAGAGAGAGAGAGAGAGAGAGATAGAGAGGGAGCAGCTAGTGGAAGAGCAATTAGGGCCCCCTCCCCCTCCTGGAAAATGAAAACTCTTCGCCTATGTCCCATGGCATAGTTGCATGATGTGGTTTTCATATGGTATAGCTCAGGTGCTGGCAAGCTGCGGTGTGCAGGCTGCATGTGGCCCGCAAGAAAGTACCATTCATCCCCCGGCATGAAGTCAAACTCCCCTCTACTCTTTTTATCTGAAGGCAGAAATAGCAGTTGTGACCTAAAACAAGATTTTCGTTGTAAATTTAGCTTGAATGGAACCTTGTAATATGGGTGCTGAAAACAAACGAATGCCGATCCAAACTTGTATCAGTTCATTTCCAAAGGTCCCTCCCTACCTACATTTGGCGAGCGGCCGGCCGCTGTAATGGCTCCTTGTAACTTGGTCCTCACCCTCAAAAGTTTGCCAACACCTGATATAGCTCGTCCATCTCATGGCAAAGCAACTTTGTCATGCCTCATGTGGTTTACCACTGCCTTTTAAAGGCAGCTATTATTTCTTTTTCACAGTGAGTACAATAAGAGAGAGGGCAAAGAGGAGTGTCGACTCACTGGTCTCACGCGCTAGCACTGTAGCAGTTTGTCGACTTGGCTGGCTCCATACTGCCGACACCATCGCCGACTGAGAGCAGCTGCCCTGCACGGACACGCTGGCAACCTCTGGTCTGCTCGAGTGCCTGCGCCCAGAAAGCAATGGTAGCAATATAGTCACTACACTGCCACAGAGATTTGGTGGGCAAAAAAAGTACAGTGAGCCGTTCTCGAAAGGTGACACAGAAAAATTAACATCAGTTTAGCACGACATGAAATGCTGTCAATGCCCTTTATGTTACTTTGGCAGTGAGAAGTTTGTAGTGTGTACATCCTACCAGTTGGCAGCCCTGCTTCCCTCTTCAAATGTTTGGTTGCGAATAAACCATTGGGTTCAGTTGCCTGCTCGGCAGCCTGGCGTATGGCTATAGTTCTTCAGTAGCTCCGGCTTGTGGAAGTGCAGTCCGCCAAGTTCATATGTCACTAAAAAAGAAAATAAAGCCCGAGCTTCTTTTTACTTAATGACAATAATCTCGTACTTTAGAGGGAGGGGGGGGGGAGGTAAGGGGCAGATACGGCCGGAGAGCATATATCTTGACAAAAAGCTTTTCATGACATAAACTATAAAGTGGATATATATGCGACAACGCATACTACCTTGGGCATGCGCCACGTGCTCGAGGCGCCCGAGGTATGCAAGTGGTGATGGTGTGCGGAGCCACGACAAAGTACCCAATGGTGTGCGCCCCTGCCACGTCCGCGCACGCGATTGGTCACATAAAGGCTCATGACACGCGACCCGAGCCGTGACGTGGAACTCCGGAGGAAAAGCGAGCATTGTTCAGTGGAGCGCCGAAGGAAGAATGTGGAAGAAGTCAGCGTCGAACTCGCGGCGAGCAGCAGGAGCTCGGATCTGGAGGTAGCAGCTCGTGAGGCTCGGGAAAAGCTCGTTCACCTGGGTAGGTGATCAGCGAGGCTCCCCGGGTTCGCATCGGCCTCACCACAGTACTTATACCGACGCACCAGCAGCACTTCCTTTTCTTGACCTGACGGCATCCCTCCCCTCCGCAAGAGCTGGGTCGTCAGTGCCTGCACAGCTAGGCCTAACCTTTCGAGTCCGACGACAAACGTGATAGCGACCGGAGTATGAGCAAGGGAAACAAGAAGCTCAAATGCGGATCGACGAAGACGGTTGTCAGACGTGTCGAAGCACTTAAGCAACGGGAAAGTGAGCCTTTGTTTCGCGCGGACAATGTAAACATTAAAGCACAGTAAGACATTCAATTCGAACGCGCGATGTTTTTGCCATAGTGGCCAGACTTAAAAAGGGTTAGGGTTGAATTTAGCGTCAATTTAATTTGTTTTAGTTTCTACTGGATTTATTTTGTGTGCATGCCTCTGCCTTACGAAGTTCAGAGTTGCTACCACAACTACAGGCTGTCCAGAGAGCCAACGATGCGGCGGGGGGCTAGGCCTCCCCGTTCCTACGTCGGAGCGGCCCGTGACGTTGCTCTAAAGGAGCAGCGTTTCTCAGGACCCAATAAAGTTCTTTGTCTGTCTGTGTGCATGCCAGGGTTGCCACTGACGTTCGAGAGAAATTCCCTATATTTCTTAAAACTTCGCCAAAAAAGTCGCCGCTCTACATATATGTGGCGTGTCTAGTAATAAAAGTTCCCAATTATACTGACGTTTTTCAATGCCAGTCACATCACCCGCTTCACCATGGGTGTACTGAGAAAGGGCACGCATGGAGCTGGAAGCGTCCCAGAACGCCTCATAACAAAAGTTTGTGATGGTTTAGTAGCGAATACAGGATGAAGCAGTCGCTACAACAAGAGAGGATGGCGTGCATTGCCTTCCCGTAGACTCAGAGAATTGAATTTCAGTGGAATAATGTGTCTGATAATTGAACAACCTATTACAAAATAGCAAAATATGTGAAAGTACTACGTAACCATCGCAATGGACCGCACCACGCTTTTTGTGTGTTCAAGCTTACGCTATACATTCGCCTCGCTGCCGTTTCTGAAAGCTGCTCGAAGTAGCCCGACTTTTTGGCCCATCCGAAAAGTGCGTTCATAACGAAGTGAAACTCTACATGCCAAATTAGGCGGTAGACAAGGCATTCACGACAGTTGGAGATGTGGTCGGAACACGCAGCCTAACCGTCACCTGGTCACTTCAGAACCAAAACTTTGAAGTAACCTTAAAGGGGCCCTGAAACACTTTTTTGAGTAACCATGAAATGCAATCACTGGAAAAGCATATTGCCTCAATAAATCAACGCCGGAAATTTTTAACAATCTGTCCAGTACGAGCGGAGTTACAAAGTATTGTCACACGCTGCAATCGCATTCTCTCGTCCCGACGAAAGCACTGGAAGCTAAGCAGGGAGGGGCAAAAAAAAAAAAACAAAAACATCACGCGCGCCTCCTGACCTTGAGCACTTTTTTCTTTTTTTTCCTTCGAATGCGCGGGTTTTTCAGTGTGATCACACGAGGAAAAGTAGCGGCCTCCCGTGGCGATATCTGTAACGACCTGAGCGCACAGTGTTCAAATCAGCCAAAGGGTGATAGATGGGCTTACTACGAGTAATTTTTGGGCTTATTCTGTGATTTTTCGAAAGAAGGGAAAGCAATTTTTTGCCGACTTTAAATATTGTGAATTCAAGGCCACGTGCTGTGGTGCAATATGTGACTCACGTGTTGTCGGCAGCCTCTACTACCGATCCGTAGCGTATTCTGACAGTGCTCAAAATGTATTGCAGGGCCCCTTTAAAGCTCTTAAAGCCCCATCAAAACTATGAACCATCTGTCTGAAGAGAACCCTGATGAGATGCGAAGCAGCAGCGGTGCGCACGGCGTTGACTCGTCGTGTTACCGAAGAAACTATGATCCCGACACGCACACACATAAAAGGACTACACGACAATATTATTACAGCGAAAGCTGTTGTGACAGCTCAGGGAAGATCGCGTGATCTCACAACAGCTTTCCTGCAATATCCCCTTTCCAGCAATATCCCCCTCTTGTTTTCGTGTTTGTTTTGTGTGGCGCAGTACAACCGGTTTTATCCGACACGGTACTTAGTTGGCTCACCGATAGCCCCATTTTTTTATAAGGCCAGCTTATCTGTTTACTCGGGCACTCTGCTAGAGACTCTTTGTTCTGCTCCTCGACGCGAGATTTCTCTGGGAGAGCAAGCGCTCCCGAGATAAGTGGCGCTGTAGTAAAGTGCAGGAACACCCTTTTAAAAAAGTTGACAGTTGTACGAGTTGGTGTTTTGACATGGAAAATGTCGTGAGTTGCGCAACTAAACAGGAGACACGAGAAGAAATAGACGAGTAGAGTACAGGCGCGCATTAACTGATCTAATTGAAGGAATATCCACATCTTTATACTTCAACACGCTGCGCAGGCGCACTGCGTCACAACCCCCCCAAGAAAGTTCAAAGAAGGCGGGAAAGAAATTTATATTCAGCACTGTATAGCGAAATCGGAAGTGTCACTCACGCATTCCTTACCCGCTTTCCGAATTAAAAAGAGATTCGCGAGCCATTTTTTGTCTACTTCTGCCTATAGGATTTTCGCAAACCGGAATCGCGGTTCACAATGCGAGCATGCCATGCAGTGGTCAACGAGGCAACTTCTCTCCTTATTATGCAAATTTCATTGGTGCTTGAGGCAGCGCCTCAGCACCAGTTGCATCTTCAACCTGGGGCTCGCTGGACAGGTTCTTCAACTTCAAGTAGATCTAGCTGATGCGGTTAGCCGAAAAGGTTTGATGTTTGCAGGCACAGCGCATCTATTTCAGCTGCTACGATAGTGAAATCGATGTTATGCCGATGAGAATGAGGCCAGTAGTGTATCCAGAGGGATGGTGGTAGGGGCGATCGCTCCCCCATCCCGGAGGACTGTGTTAGCACTTCCCTCTCCCCCTCTCTTCAGTGCTTCGCGTACACCTCCTACAACCAATTAGGACGAATGAGTGGAACCACTGTGAGCGCAAATTAACAGTATATATGCTATGATGGAGTTTCTGTGCTTCTAAAACAAAAAAAAAATATATGACATTGCCCCACTCTCTCGTCACATCAAGTGACCCCCTACCCAGACGAGCGCGGCTGGATCCGCCCGTGAATGAGGCTGTCCGCTGCCAGCACCCTTTCGCCTTCGATGAAGCAACATGATCCAAGAAACCTCGGCACAGCGCCAAGCGAAAGTGTCGCGTTCATCTTTTTTCTTTTTTCAAACAGTGTTGCCAGCAAACGTAGCGTTTTATCGAGTTGCGAAATGAGTGGGTGCACACGTACCATTCATAGCAGCCGCGCTCGTCGACATTCACCAGGTTCAGAGTGTAGTTAGAGGCGACTTCGACCAGACGTGGTAGTAGAAGCCGTGGGACATTCAGCCTCGCCTGTTTCGTCATGCTCAGCACCAGAAGAAGAAGACACAAGTGACCTGGCAACTTTCTGACGGAGCCCATGCTCCAGGTAGACCGAGACATTGAACTACTGCAAAACGTAAGCCAACACGGCTCTACAAATGATGATGATGATGATGAACCTTCGGCTTTGCTGGCACTCGCCCACAAAGGGGGATCGGCCAAGACCGGGCGGCAGGATCCGGGCGGCAGGATCATCAAGTGTGTTCAGTCAGGCATTCAGGTAGTCTCGTAGCCGTAAATAATAACAATAGGCTTCTCTAACAATAGGTAATCTCTTTGTTGCCCTTATGTACTCGCACACAGCAGAGAAAACCTCCCTGCGGCTATAACCTAATGTAATCCCTCCAAAGGATAAAATTTGTTCCACGTTTATTTTTAAACCTAGCTTCTCAATTGGTTCGACCAGGTATCTTTTCCTTTGATAAGCATAACGTTTACAGGATAAGAAGAAATGATCTATTGATTCCGATTCCTTGCAAAAGAGACACAGCGGAGATGCTGTTAGTCCAGCTTTATGTAGGTAGTAATTCAGATGCGGAATTCTGCATCGTAATCTGGTGATTGTAGTTTTTAACTGCCGAGATACATACCACTGTTTGTTCCAGCAATATCTTAGATGTACGAAGTCTCTGACTTTATCCAATGATAATTCTTCCATTTCATTGTGCAAACAAGCCTTTCTATATCTGAGTGCTGTTACGTAGGCAAAATCAGGTAAAATAGGTAAGATTGGTCCGCTTAAATATGCTTTGGCTAACGAGTCTGCCATCTCATTTGGATAAATCCCGCAGTGGCCGGGTATCCATAGCAAGTGAAATTTTTTCAGGTTTTCTGGCAATAAACTGCTAATCATACTGAATGTCAATTTTTTTTGCTGTAGATAGTGCAGTGCATACTGAGAGAGAATCGGTAAGTATGACCGCTTCTGATTCGCTTGCAGGAAGTTTACGAAGTGCTAGAATTATAGCAAATAATTCAGCGATGAATATAGGCGTGTAATCTGGTAATCGAACTGAGAAAGACCAGTTGAGAGAAGTACAGAAGATGCCTATTCCAGCCTTTTCGTTCAATACGGATGCATCCGTCGCAATAATGTTGTTTATGGACAAATGAGTTAAGTAATCTTTCAACCGAATATTTAAATATTGAAGGGGCAGTTGTTTTGCATTAGAGGGGAAAATATTATCAAATTTAATTTCAAGTTTTGAATTAGGTGTCATCGTTATGCAAATCTGATAAATATTTACATTGAGAGGCTCTAGCAATGCTTGGACGAACCTAATCTGAGGGGAGTGTAGTCTAGACCATTGTGTTCCAAAGAATGCGGTTGGTTCTTGGATAAAAACGTATGAAGCTTGTCGCAGAGGCGAATTGTATATTTTTAAGAAAGTTTGAACTGTAAGTATTCTAAACCGAGTTAACAAAGGTGGAAGGCGCGCTTCCACATACAAAACATTATTTGCCACAAATTTTGGGAGTCCAAGACACAAGCGCAAAGCTTCTCTTTCTAATAATATTAATTGTCTCATCTTGTAAGCCGCGCTGCCTGAAAATAATACACAATAATACACTCTACAAATGTGGGCAGCCGCCTTTCCATCAAAGGCGTTTTTTTTTTTTCCGAACGTCATGGAGCGCGCGCACGAGCCAGAACGAGCAACGAACGATATCGCGCACTATATATGCGCGATAATGATGATGATGGGAATGATAATTTTCCTAAGTGAGGCGTCTAAATGCCGAAACTACCAAACCTGCAAATGATGATGGTTGGTTCGTTAGTTGGCCCTTGGATGCCTGGCGCAACCCAGCACAGGGGATCGGCCATGAAACCGACGGTGCCTTATCTTATAAGTAAAATTGTTTTACCATCCGAATACGTTTAGACAGGAATGTTATTTTTTCGGGCGAAGCTCCTTAAGGCGTGGGTTGGTCATCCCCAATGTATAGTCATCCCCAATGATCGTCCCCACTGTATGTACGTATACCCACCTCGTTCCCAGGATTCACCACTAGGTGATAGTTGTTGGGGAAAAAAACTATGCAGATGCTATAAATGGCGTCCGTGTGGTTTTATGATGAACAAGCAAAAGAAACTGTTATACTTCTATGGTCCACGCCATGCAGTCATTTTCCTCCCTTCCTTCTCTCCCCTAGTACACGATTTACTCCGATTCTTACACCGCCGTCCGTCACATACAGAACACGTTGCCCCCTGCTCTTCAACAGAAGGTCGTGCGAGCGGACTCAGCTCTTACACCCTCCACTGTCTTCCTCCGCTGGGTTCCTGGGCATTCGGGTATTAACGATAATGAGCTAGCTCATCAGCTTGTCCACGATATATTGCACCGGGCACCGTTCATTCCCTGGCCCACACCTTCGGAAGACAGTGAGAGCTCCGCGAATAACGATGGGCAGATCTCCTTGCGTCACACTATCAAGGAGGTATATCTCCAGCTCCGGCTCGACAAGCGTCTTTACTCTCCCCCTCATCCATCACTCACTGCGCTCGAGGCTCGAACTCTACGGCACATCCAAATGAACTGCCTGATAACCCCCTCTCGCCTTTTCCTTTATAAATATAGGTCTAACCCCTGCTGTCCTAATTGCCCCTCCCCATACGCTGACCTGTCACACTGCCTGTTTTACTGCCCAACTGCTCAGCAATCCAGCTATTACCTTCCCCCACCCCTTTCCAACACCTCCCGGCTCGACTGGATCGGCGCCGAAGGGGAAGAACAGCGTCGACTGGTCGCACAGGCGGTCGAAATGTTCGGCCTGTAAATTGTGGCTGAATAAAAGTCTATTACTACTACTTATACTTACGTTAGGGGACGCTTTCATTTTAGGGGCGAAGCTCCTTATGCCGTGGGTTGTGCGTCCGTGATGTATGTAGTAGTAGTAGTGGTAGTAGTAGTAGTAGTAGTAGTAGTAGTAATAGTAGTACGGTAGTAGTAGTAGTTGTAGTTGTAGTAGTAGTAGTAATAGTAGTAGTAGTAGCCACCTCTCGTTTAGACCTTGGAATGTCCACTGGATGGCGGTACTTCTATATGATAAATATATGATGAAAAGATGTAAGATGGTGGTACTTGGAGTGTTCACTAGATGGACGGACGCACGGACGAAGAGGCAGACAAACTGACGGACAGATGGACAGACGCGCGGATGGACAGACGGACAGACAGATGCACGGACAGACGAACGGACGCACGGACGGTCGCATGGATGAACGGAAGCAAGAACGAACGAACGGACGGAAGCGCGAACGTACTGACGGACGCTTCGCCCTACTCATCATCATTCAGTCTGTGGATATGCTGTTATTTTTTTTTAAAAACAAATTGGTAGAATACGGATTAAAAATAGAATAAATAAAGTAAAAGAAAAACAAAGCCCAACAATTAAGCTAAAAGAGTTGAACATAAACTGTATTTATGCTTATAAGCTTAACATTATATTCATTTTGTTTCCCTTAGGAAATCGCATACGGTTTCACAAACGTTCCTGTGGCTAAAGCCCACGGAGAAAGAATTCTTGCTCCGTGCTAAAGCTTTTTTTAAAGACGATAGTCTTTTTTCTTTTCAGTTGCTCCAAAAGAAGGGAACATTGGAAGGGATAAATTTTAAGCCAGCCTACGTAAAGGTTCTTCTAACAGTCTCTTTCTTTGATTTGCAAATAGCGTGCATGTACAGAGAAATGATGCAAAGACTCACTCTCGTTGCAGTGGAGGCATAGAAATGACTGTACCAGACCAGGCCTGTGCAGTTAAAAATTCGGTGGCGGGACTCGGCATCGTATAGTCTTGTGAGTGATATTTTCGCCCTTATAAAGGAGCATCATCAATTTTCCCGAAAGTAATTTAAATGAGAAAACTCAGATGTTGCCAAGCGAGACATTTCAAAGTTATCCGATGTAGCAAAATTTTCAAATCGTGCCACGTTGATAAATGTAGCGTCGGCAACATAGAAATAACGGGACCATGTTGTGAGGTCACTGCAAGTGCATCTGCGTATGTATCTTTTAGAGCACGTCATTAAAATTTACTATGTTGTTGTCTTTTTCTTGCTGGTTGAAAAGAATGTTACTAGAACTGAAACAACTGGTTTTAATGCTTTATGTTTTTGCGCGCAAATTGAAATTGTGCGTATAATTCATAACTGTTGGGGTTTATGTCCCCAAAACAGCACATGATTATGAGATCTAGACGCCGTTTAGAGGAGGAATCTGCAAGATCATGCGTTTGGGGTTCCTTAACGTGTACCAAAAGCCAACTGTACACGGGCTTCAAGTACCTTCGCCAATATTGAAAATGCGGCAGCCGCGATGGGGATTCGATCCCACGACCTGCGAGTCAGCAGTCGACGAAATTGTGTTAACCTATTCGCACTCGCTTGGTACCTTGACCATTGAAACATCTCATTTCAGCACTGTCTGGTGTATTATATAATGATGTTTTCGTAAAGAGATGTTGCCATCAAACTTCGAGGACGTAACAAGCCTCCTGCGGGTTTCCTCATTATGCAAAGACAGTCCACATGAAGGGACGGACACAGCAAACGTTTAGAACATCGTTTAATAGAACTCTCCCTGAGTACGTTAGAGCATGAAGTCAACGGTGCACGTGTAAGGCGGTGGTTGTCGAAACAACCCCGCTGGTGGCTCAGCATGGTGCGGTTGTGTGATACTTGGGTCAAGCTTTTTCTCTTTTTTTATGATGCTTAAACTTCAGATAGCTGTTGTAAGATTAGCTGCGGTATGTGTCAGACTTGGTGTGCGGTAAATTGCGTCATCAAAAGCTTACCACGGTGGCTGGCTGTTCATCTAGGAAAAGTGAATACACGTGACGGCATGTGCGAGAAACAGAAGCAACGTCTTCAAAAAATGTGTTTATTAGAGAGTTGTAGTTTACCGGGCGTACCGTGATACTGCCATGGGTGTACGGACGGTGAAACTGTTAATATTGTGCGTGGTGCGAGCTGCGTGAATAACGATGCATCAATCATTGCGAAAACACTGAAACGTATTGTGGGTCAGTGGCAGTGATCGGTTGTCGACAGAATATCATGATTCGACATTTTAGTCAAGGTAAAAGTGGATTTGACGCGTTCATCTGCGAGTGCGTGCATCTAAGCGTTTGATTTGATTGATATGTGGGGTTTAACGTCCCAAAACCACCGTATGATTATGAGAGACGCCGTGGTGGAGGGCTACGGAAATTTCGTCTACCCATGGGGTTCTTCAACGTGCACCCACATCTGAGCACACGGGCCTACAACATTTCCGCCTCCATCGGAAATGCAGCCGCCGCAGCCGGGATTCGATCCCGCGACCGAGTAATAAGCGACCAGATTCGGGAACGTGCTTGTTCGTAAGAGGCGCTATATGCCGTCTGCTCGCTTTGCGAGGTGTGTGCCGGTTGAAAGCGGACCCTTTTCTAGTGTGTAATGTTTTGTAATTACCTCTTAACTAACCACGCGGTCTCCATGCGTCCCCGGACTTGACGCTGCACCTTAATTTTCGGTCGGTCACTTCTCCAGCCAGGCCCTCCCTTACCAGGAACAAAATCAGGAATTTTTTTCGGGGGGGGGGGGGGGGGGGGGGGGGGGGCACGTCTTTGATTCCAGCTGTGGGGAGCTGTGCGCAATTTTCTCTCCTAAGTGTTTCCGTTCTGGCATGCCCGGAATAGGACCTTCAGCCACGGGTCTATAGTATATAGCGCAACTCTGCCACTGCTACGGTAAATAACAATATAGTGAGGCATTCATATACAAGCAGCAATGAAATTTGACAACGTGTAGTGACAAGTCACCTCGTTAAGTTAAAACATCATATCACCGTGTCGGAGTAGGCTGATCACCGACAAGCCCACGATTGGGAGATAACTATTAGTTGAAAAACGGCGCAAACATACCTGCATTGGACCTGCGCACCGTTTAGGGCCGGATTTCTTAGCGCTCGAGGACCCACGTGTTTCCGTTCATAATATTCTTGTTAGGTCTAGGAGACTGGCTCCTGAGTTGAGCGGGACGGCGCACAGCTCTCCCATAGTAGAGCATCTAGTGCTCTAAATTGTTAACTACTCTTTCTAAACACACAGAGCGGACGTGCTCTTTCTTCGGAGCTCCTGTGTTTGCGGGAGACGCGCCGCGGCGTCTCGTGCAACGCTCTCTGTTTCTTCGCCTACATCATGTGCATTTTAGGGGCGAAGCTCCTTATAGCGGCACCCGTTCGTCCCTCGTAGTCGTAGTAGTAGCATGGTAGTAGTGTGTAACAAGTATAACATTTTGACCTCCAAGATGGTGCCGGTGGAAGATTTCTTCTGTGCGTTGTTGAACAACAAAAAATACTGCTCAATGTACATGCCATGGCTGCTAAGCGGGAATGAGAGACAGGAGAATTCGGCTTTTAGTTAATGCGCACGCTGCGAATTTTTTATTGTTCAACAACGCACAGAAGACAAGAAAGGGTTGCTACGTTATACCACAGTCCCTTAATAACCTCCTTGGTTTTAGAAAGGTCTAGCGAGCGTTGGGCCGCAGTGCCATAAATACAGTGATATCTATCCGTCTATCCGTCTGTCCGTCTATCTATCCGTCTATCTATCTGTCCGTCTATCTGTCCGTCTATCTGTCCGTCTATCTGTCGTCTATCTGTCCGTCTATCTGTCCGTCTATCTATCTGTCCGTCTATCTATCTGTCCGTCTATCTATCTGTCCGTCTATCTATCTGTCCGTCTATCTATCTATCTATCTATCTATCTATCTATCTATCTATCTATCTATCTATCTATCTATCTATCTATCTATCTATCTATCTATCTATCTATCTATCTATCTATCTATCTATCTATCTATCTATCTATCTATATCTATCTATCTATCTATCTATCTATCTATCTATCTATCTATCTATCTATCTATCTATATATCTATCTATCTATCTATCTATCTATCTATCTATCTATCTATCTATCTATCTATCTATCTATCTATCTATCTATCTATCTATCTATCTATCTATCTATCTATCTATCTATCTGTCTATCTATCTATCTATCTATCTATCTATCTATCTATCTATCTATCTATCTATCTATCTATCTATCTATCTATCTGTCTATCTGTCTGTCTGTCTATCTGTCTGTCTATCTGTCTGTCTGTCTATCTGTCTGTCTGTCTGTCTGTCTGTCTATCTGTCTGTCTATCTGTCTGTCTGTCTATCTGTCTGTCTGTCTATCTGTCTGTCTGTCTGTCTGTCTGTCTGTCTGTCTGTCTGTCTGTCTGTCTGTCTGTCTGGCTGGCTACCTACGACGTTTAGCACTCCTAGCCGTTTCGATAAAGGTATCGATACCAACTTGGTATGGTATAACATGACTGTATGAAGAACATATCTGACTAGTCATAACTTGAAAATCATGACATGAATGTCATGATTTACATTCATGGCTTTGCAGCTGTTGCGGTGGTTTCGTTCACATGGCGTGTTGCATAACTGGTATGGTATGACATGATTGCATGGCGAATGCAAGCGATAGATCCTAACATGAAAATCATGACATGCGTGTCTTGTAACAATTGACTACATGCCAAGCTCGTGATGCACTCGCGGGCGTTTCGCTAGCGTCACATATACCAAATTTGGCATTACGGGGCGTGAATGGATGATGAAGGTATGTGACTAATGCAAACATGATAATCATGAGATGCGTGTCATGTGAGAACATGACTACATGCAACAGTCGAGACGCCAATACATTTCGACGTGACGCAATGCGCGTGCTCGCCGGCGTTCATTTCGTCGCGTCACGCCGGCATTGCAACGCCAGGCGCCAGTCCTGCCATACACTCGCAGGCGAGCGCCGCGCTGCGTGGCTTTGACGCATGCGCGTTTCAGCGCGTCCGGCATCCCTCTGTCACAAAAAGAGGGAGACGCAGTGTTGTCTGGGTAACGCATCGGCACAAAATGCAGCATGTCGCTTTTCGCGCCAGTTGCCGTCAGGACGCGCCGACGGACGCTAGTCGCGCCGGTCGCGCAAGGTGTCAGACTATAGTGTGCTCGCGTTTTGCTAACTATATAGCATCGCTGTGCCCAGCGTGAACGCGTGTCAATGCTACAGAGGAGTGTATGGGGCCTTCACAATGCACTCGTGGCCGTTTTGCTAGCTCCGCATATACCAAAGTTGGTGTTACGTTACGTCAATGGATGACGAAATATATGATTGGTGCAAACATGGTAGTCCTGACACGCGTATCATACAATATACCACGCTCATAGCGTGCTCGCAGTCGTTTTGCTAGCTCCACATATGCTAAATTTAGTATCACGTGCCGGTAATAGATTGCGAAGGTAAACGACACATCCAAACATGATAATCATGACCGGAGTCATGTAGGACATCATTTACCTCCACCACGTAACGTTGCGCCGATTTTAAAGTGGCATATCAACCTTTCTTATTCGTGTTTTGCATGCCACCGATTCCCGCTGTACGTGGGATCTGCCATTTTTTTTTCTGAGGAAGCACTTGATTGACATCAGGGTTTTCATCAGGAGAGGACAACGGTCCTTTGCGCAACTCTTATATTGCATTACAACAATTCTTGCTTTGCCCTTGCCTCATGCATGCAGGCGAATGTGGTAGTACGAATGCAGGCGGCATAGCGCCGTGTCTTAATGCGCGAATGACGCTACACGACGGCAAAACACGTGTCAGTAAGCCATATGTATTTACTCTTGTATATCGTCGCCGTTTATCTCGTATAATACGTAACACATTCTGTCTGCTGGAGTGTATCTCGTCCTGCTATTCATGCTCTTATAATTTTTTTAGGGAAGAGAGAAAGAAATAAATATCGTCACACATATAAGCAGTCGCACTCGGCACCGACGCACAACACGCAATACCACGGCCATGGGAACAGCCGTCGATTTGGTTAGTGGAATGGCCGACGTCGTGACCATCCTAACTCTTTTCGTCAGCCTGTCCATGGCCTGGCGTGTCTGGCGCGCCCGCAGCTCGTCGGGCGTCGAGTTCCTGCCCGTGGCCGCGACCGCCGTGTGCCTGCACGCCTACGTACTGTACGGCATCGCCACCTGCGACTCGCACATCACATGGGTCAACTCGCTCGGTTTCGCCCTGATGGTCTTCAACTCCGCCGTGCACCGCACCTTCTCTACCCGGACGGGGCCCGGCGTGGCCCTGGCGCTGATCCTCGTGGTCGTTAGGGTTGCGTCTCTGCCGCTGTCCGCATCACAGTTGGGTACCATAGGGGTCGTCTGCGCGGCGCTCGACAACTTGACGCCGGTCTGCCGCATCGTGAAGAAGAAACCCTTGCCAGAGGTCGCCTCCGCGACACTGCTCACTTGCTCACTGTGGGAAACGTACGGCGTGCTCGTCGGGAGCGGGTCGCTGATGGCGAGCAACGGGATCGGCGCTTCCGTCGCCCTTGTGGAACTTGCCGCGGCTCTCTGGGTGCGGTGTCGACGCACTGTCTATGTGGCCATCGAAACGACGTCATAAGTGTACTTGAGGTAAGTGCGTGTGCGGGGCGCGCAGCTCGTGCGCAGTCGCCATGCTATCTTGGCTGTTTCATAAATGCTACACTATGTGGTTGTAATTATGACGCGACATGGCCAATTGTTCAGAATGGGTCCGATACATGGGAGGTAGTGAAACACCATGTTTACGCGCAGAAAGCTTAGTAAGCCGACTGACGAGAACGTCTTTCGCCTTCGAGTCCTAGTAGGCTAATACAATAAGGACCGTACCAGTTTCTTCTTCTTCTATCCGTACGTCTACCGCAGACGGCACGGTGTTCTCAGAGCTGTCATTCGGGCTCAAGAGTAATGCATACAGTGGCCCTGTCTTCATCGTACTCCGGACCTCTTTTCACAACCAGTCCACATTAAAAAACAAGCGATTTTCACTAACCAAATCTAATTCAGACATGTCATCTGGTGAACGATCGGTAACCCAGACCTTGAGAGCAGAGTCCACGCCAGGGGGTGGGGGTGGGGGTGGACCGGCTAGAGACATTTTTTGCCCCCCCCCCCAAAAAAAATGAAACCTGTAGTAAAAACACAACGCATAACTCTTCCACCTCTGTGTCCTCCTGACAGAACTCGCTTGTCGTCAATTCAACAACCCCCGGTAAGAAAATCCTAGCGCCGCTTCTGCATGACAGGTGTTTTGGGAGGGTGTCGATGGACGCCTATGTTAATCTACGCTCTTTGTTTCACCTTCCTCTTTGTTTCAGGCCCGAACCAGATCCACCGAAGACCCCGGTAAAGCATTCCCGGTCTTGCAGCACCCAATGGTGGCGTGCCTTCCTTGTCGGGCTGTACTTCCGACGAAGCGCACGCTTTCGCTGATCAACTTCACCCGCTGCATGCTCCCTTCCCTGAAAAGTTCCCGCAAGAATATAGTGTGCTACTTATATTTTTTTTCTTAAGCTACAGAATTATGTGTACATCACTTTTACTTGATTGGCTCCCTCCTCGATCGCTATAAGTACTAGTTATATCTCTCGGAACCTTATATAATAAAACAACTCGGATTACATCCTTCATTTCCGAACTAAACTCCACAATCACCTATCGAAATAATATTACAGCTTTGGTTCAACTCGCCATACGTTGCCGCGCCAGCACCTCTGTTACCCTTGTCCATGTCTGATATGAATGGACCGGTTCATAATCATTACTTCACGTGCAACTCGGTAACACTTCCTGACTATTGTAGTGTTTTATCGGTGTTTTTAATGAATATAAACGTTTTTAGTTGGAAGCTTTTGATGAGTCGTCTTTGTATACATCAAGCGTAATTCTGCAGCCTTAGACGAGGGTTTGTGAAGAGGCCGCCATGTGATGCAGCAAGTCGGACACTCCATTTCTGATGGCATTTCGATGACTCAGAAATGCAGCACAACTGCTCCTTTAACTTTACGTTGAAGGACTGCTATAGTATATAACAGCCTCTGGAAATACAAAAAAAGAACGTGTTCTTTCCTAGCGTTTATCGTCTTTTAATTACACTTCGTGATGACATAAGTGTAATTCACGTGGCCTAATTTAAAGGTATACACGAACGGTCCATTGCTCCACGTACGAGCAGTGTCATTGTGTATTGTCTCCTATCCTGCTTTTATTGCGATAGCAATTGTATCGACACTCTCGGCTGGATTTCGCCGTCAGCTTCGGTGTCATGCACCGTATATGTATACGTATGTATACATATGGAAACGGAAGAAAAAAATATCTCCCCCCCCCCCAAAAAAAAAAAATAGACTCCACCGCGTGGAATCGAACGTGGGACCTCCGCGTCGTGTATGTCGGGCATTAACTACAGCGCCACCGAGAGATACCTCCTCCAGTGTTCACACTGGCAAGCTATCCATTTCTACCACTTACTGTTGTTGGCGGGTATCTTGGGAGGGGGTGGGAAAGGGACTATTGTGTTTTCAGAATTATCAGCAAGATGGCGCCGTGAGCGCGTGGCGGCTCCCATCTCTCACGCTGTCACAGAACGAGCGCTCAAAATGGGCGCGCCGCCAAATTCTTGCGATAACGCGCCGGAGTGACGCCGCGAGGTCAACGAAAAAAAAAGAAGAAAACAAACATCGAAAGGCTCCCCGGGCGCGCGACGCTCTCCCCTCGGAAGCGTGGCTTCGCCGATGAACCTCCTCGCCCCACAGCGGCGGCCGGGCAAGCACTGGAAAGATCTAGAAGGAAAGGGGCGTGTTCTGCCGGGTTGAGTCATCTGTCGGGGACGGCCCTCGTACCGTCCCGCGCCTCTCCCCAGCCTTCGCTGTGTATCGCGCCGACGAAATGACGAGAACTTTCTGGAATGTCGCGCGGAAGGTATTTAACCGAGCAGCGGAGATGAGAGATCAGGAGAGGACGGAAGTTAGCGCAAGAGCGCGTAGGGTATACCGCCGTGTAGTCGGCGAAGGTTTTGTCCGTGGAGACAAAGCAGGAGAAGAAGAGGATTTCCACCTGAGGGGTGAAGGCTCGAGCTACAGGCAAGAGCGTGTGTTTACCGCTATCGAGCGAAGACGCGTGGCAACAGCTGCGTGTGGGAAGCCGACGTGTTTCCGGCGAAGAAGTTTGAAGCTTGGAGAGTGGCCTATTGAAGACGTGAGGTTTCCTGGAAGAGAAACTTCGGCGAGGTTTCCTGGAAGAGAAACTTCGGGGGCTGCGGAACGACAACAACGCTGGACTTTGAGTGAGTGATTCTCGGAAGAGTATCATCTAGACTTTGTTTCCAAGAACTTTGGACTCAATAGGTTTTCTATCTCTTTAGTCTTTAAGTGTCTTGGTTGTTAAATGCATGCGACTGCATTGTAGTGTGTATTGTTGTCTGTGTCCGTTGTTTTGAGTGTGGCTGATTGTACTGTGTAGTACGTTGGTTGATTGGTGACATATTGTACTCAACTGTTGTGGAGTGTGCATACTCGTGTATTGTTTTCGATCTGCCATTATTGAGAATATAATTTTGTTTGTTTATCAACTCTCGGCTCTGACTTGTTCTTTGGGCCACAGCCGGCGTCTGCTGGCGCACCAATAAGGACCACTTCTAAATTGTCCATGCTTTCGTGGTGCGGTTCGCGGGGCCGATACTTCGGCTCTTGGAATTAGCCCGGCGATCGCTTCCCTAATTAACGGGACCGGTGTGACAATTAATCTGGCGTCCGCGACACAGGACCTTTTGGTGCACAGTGTGTCCAAAGTAGTGAGAAAGAGCCTGGAGTGTTGAAAGTGCTATCGGAACGATTTTGTGTGTTGTTCAGTGTTCTCGTTAACGAGTGCAGGGGAGTGTTCCGATCAAGGAGGTTTAAAAAAAACTTCTGGAGTGGAAGCGCCTGCCCTCTGGTGACGCCGACGGCCGCCATGTTGCTCCAGGCAAAAAACGTGCCGTCGGTCGTTTGGGCCCCCGCCGTTCGCGCCACTGAACAACAGTTGTCGCGTTTGTCCCTCGTTCTTTTGTTCTGTGCGGATTTTGTGCAGTTCTAAAGGAAGTTGACACGATTCCGGACGTTATGGTGAGCTCGTGTGTCGCCTTCGGCTGCACTAATCGTGCGAAGCAGAAGCCAGGAATCACTTTTCACTTGTAAGTACGCGGGAAAAAGCGCTTTCAATCGCTTGTCTCCTTCGGCGCGCTACCTCATTCGAGAAGCGCGGTTTCAGCTGAAAACTTACTTTCATTAGCATTTTTCAGCTGGCGAGTAGAAGTTGAATAACCTATTTTGTGCGTGTGGTACCGCAGGTTTCCGAAAGACAAGACGCTGCGTGACGCATGGCAGCGTGCTGTTCGGAGGGATGGCTGGGAGCCTAAAAGAATGCGGACGTTCTCTGCTCGGAGCACTTTGAAGCAGACTGCTTTGACAGGACGGGCCAAACGACCAGACTGCGACCAGGGAGCATTCCTACCATTTTTCCTGCGTTCCCTGCGCATCTCCAGAAACCAGTGAGTACCATCACGAATGTACATTTTCGTTACGGTAAATAGGCTATAGATTTCCGAATGTGTAGGCACAGTTTCTCGTTTCCTACGTGCTGTTCAAAATCACACCACTCTCTGACAAAGCGCACGTCACGTACACTTACTTGTCCAACTTTTTTTTTTTCACTGTGCGTGCATAAATACGGGCACGCTAAACTTCCGCACCGAAACTATAAAAAGATCCCCGAGGTAGTAATCCCGTTTCTAGTCAGTCTAAGCAGTGGGTGGGACCATTATACCCGGCTTCTGAACTTTGGAGCATAACTGATTTTTTTTTCTTGCAGGCGAAAAGAAAGCGAGAGGCCCCTAAGTGTCGGACTGCGCTGTCACCTGTCGTCAGTGCTGAGGCAGCGGTTGAAATGCCATCTGAGCCTTCTTCGCCGGCGAAGGATTGGTACCGTTCCAAGGCAGAGGAGTCTGCACAAGAGGTTCTCCAACTAAAGAAGAAAGTTAAGACACTGCAGCAATCCAAAAGAAGGCTAAGCAAGCGGTGTGATGCGTCAGAAAATTATCAAGGAGCTAAAAGAGAGGAAACTTTTGTCAGAAAAAGGCCTTGAGGTCTTTGAAGCAACTTTCTCGCCTGAAATTCAACAGCTTCTTGTCCGAGCCCATGGCGCCATCGAAAGACGTCTTGAAGATCTGCCACACTGTGGAGAAAGGGCTTCGTGCCCTACAGGTTCAATGTAAGGACCTAAAATCGTTGCATGCAAACAGTGATCGCCTCATGGTAGAGGTGTTAACGGAGGTGTTTGAACAAGCATTATTTTCTGAGTTAGAGCCTCATCTGTTGGACTGCGATCCACTCGACAATCACATCTACGTTTTGGCGAAAAAGATTGCCAACCTGTATATAACAATCAGGCTTCACCACATTTCCAAAGAAATCAACCGCAAGAACTCGCGCAGTGGGGTACGAACCCAGCTGACAAGGACTATTATATTTAAAAATCTGTAAGGTACAGATGAGAACCAGCGTTGAACAAAGCGGAGCAGCTGGTATATTCTATATTTTTTGCAAT